ATGCCAGTAAGCTGTTCTTATGAGTTGACTTCCAATTACATTTGAATTAGTAGACTAACTGATCGAACAAAAGTATTACCGTGGAGAAGAGTTCAGACTAGTGTTCCAGATAGTTTGATACGGTTTATTTAGTTACGGGGAGATTTTCTCGATCTCATTTTTATTTGACCGTGATAGAATTTAGTAATACAACTAATACATATCCATGATTATCAAAAACAGTTTTTTATTACGTGAAAAGTGATTATTATGTGAATTTTGGACAGACAGCTAGGAGGAATTTGTTAAACATGAGTGTAATCGTAAGAGACGTGCTTTAGAACCAATGTTCTGATCTGCCATAGACTATTATTTATATTCATACCTACTGGCTGATGGTACATACCAGTTAGTTGCAAGTATCAGTTTAGTATAAGACGGAATACGATTTCATTGAGATGTAGTGACAATAAGCCTATGTGCCGCAATTGTAGGTGATGTGGTGCTGTAAGATGTCTTCGGCTAGGTAAGTCTTTACAAGATGATTAACAATGGATGATGCTTATGTGATTACCATGGAGAACATAAGTTTTAACCAAGGGGAGTACATCTCCAACTCATGTTTATGATAATTGCTTGACCCTTAGTCAGTTTTGGGGTAAATCCGACAGTGTTTTCAGTTTGTAAGGGTTTTGATTGATATAGTTAAACGTCGAATCCTCTACTTCAAAACAATAAGCATTAATGGATGCATGTTAAGTTTACTTCAGCTTTTCGTCTTGTGATCTATCTTACCAGGTCACATAGGAAGGGCGAAGTCATGCCCATTATATTTTCATTACCTCGTGCCGTAATATAGACATTCGATTTACTATGTATCCAGTGTGTCATTTTAATTGGACGGATATTTAAATTCTAACCTGCATCTATTTTCTTACTGGTCGTAAACACAGACAGTCAATGACTACTCACTTATCGATTAAGACTCATAAAAGCGCATACATTCCCCATCATCACTTGTTTTCCAGTGTGTGTGCTTGTCTGGTTTGGTCTTTGTGATAAACAGAGTGCCACGAGGCTCAATACCTGTTCCATTTGTATTCTTATCGTCTATTAACGATTTGCATGGTGACTTAGACTCCCAAACTGTTTTACACAAAGGATTTTAAGAGTTAGAGACAGATGCCAGATCCAACTGATACTTTATCTCATGCACGAAAACTTGAATATGGTGTACGATTGTACTAATAAGAACTTCCTCCATTTCAGTACCAGCAATTAGAGGATCCCAATAGTGAACGGTAATGATACTCCATTAACCTAGTACTTCCTGGGTTGTAAAGGCCCTACACTCTTCATCGCGAAAAAGGACCAGGGTATCAGCTTGTGTGATACGATATCATTACTATCCTATAACCGATAAAGCACTGTTTTGAGGTCTCATTCCAGAATATTGAGTAGCCTGACATTGGGACTATTTCAAATGGTTTCAAATGGTTATGGATGGAATAGAAGCTTTCACTAACCGAGCTTCTGTAACTTGTAGAGATGGATCACCGATGCCTCCAGGTAGGAACTTTAGTATATTTAACGATGAAAAAGAAAAAAATGTTAGCGAATCATAACGAGATACTGTCCTTAGTCCCTGAGAGTGTGTCAAGTCTTCCTCATGAAAACACCTGAGAAGTCGTTTGGACTAGCTCAGCCTGAAGAAAATTACTGCACTTGACTACTCTTGAAGAGTAGGTGTGCCTACAGTTCGTGCTGCCATTCTTTGTCTTCAGTTTCTGGGTGTCACCCCTAAGGTTTGTGTTGAGACTGGGCTTAAGTAGGTATCTAAGGGGATGCCGAGAAGTTTTTAGGATGCCATATGTCATAAGGTCACCTCTAAGACGTCGATAGAACTGCTTTTTGTCCTTATCTAAATCCTTTTCTGGAAAACATCCACTTTGTGCATCCTCACTCCAAGGAGGAAATAGTAACCTTAGAAGTAGTTCGATAGAAAAAAGACGGGAAGGTTCGTAGAGTAAACGTTTGACCCATAATCCTCTTCATCACGTATTAGATTCAGTACTACTACATATAAGAGGACATACATTTAGTATAGGAGATAAAAGAGCTCATAAAGCAGTTCATATTGAGATTTAGATTTCATATTTGTGGAGTAAGGGCAGAAGACCTACGGCATTGGTTAGTTCTTTTCTAGTAACCTTATGTGAGTGCCTAGTCTTCTTTTTAATGAGTCAATTGAAGGTGCAGACACTGCTTCGAGTAACAGGTTCCAAGAATAGATGACTAAGTGTGAAAACCTGCATGCCGCGAGTATCTTGTTCATTCTCAACCTCTCTACTCACCCGCTATGTATTCTGAGTTGTTCTAATCTTGTAGGAAGTAAAACAAAGTATATATCAGGTCCTAAATCATTTTTTAATGTTCTGTACATCAAAATCAGACCACCTCTTAATCTGCAATAGCACAGAGCAAAGAGATCTAGCTTCTCAAGCCGCTCTTTATATGGTAAACCCCGGAGTTCTGGAATTGCACGGGTAGCTGCCCTCTGTACTTTTTCCAAGTCAACTTTTTGAACAAGTGCTTGCAGCTTGAGTGCAGTTTTCAAGTTTTAATTTCGTACTATAGAGAACAGGGTAGTATTTAACGTGGTGAGTGTCTGTTCTAAACCCCGTAGGGTTCTAAGCCACTTAGTTGCAACCTCACGGCAGTGGACTGTGATCTTTGGATCATGGATCACTGTCACCCTAAGATCCTTGTGGGGCCGAACTACGTCTGCTATACACATTTCCCTTTATATCCTCAAAGTATGTGCAAATACGCTTAGCTGCGTTGATATACACCAGCCATTCTTCAGACCAGCTAATCAGAATATCTATGTCTGTTCAAAGTGCACATGCATCTGCGTCTCCCGTGATTTCTAGCCAGATTTTTAGATTACTCTTCCTAGTAATTTAACTACGACAATGGAGAGGCCGGTACGTCTGTAGTTTGATGGGAGTTGTCATGATAATGTTTTATGTAATGCAGTGGCAACCGCATTCATCCAGTCTGTTGGTAACTCACCTTGGCCAGGCGAAATATTGAATATCGTAGTCCGTGGGGCAAAGATATTTTGTGCAATTTGTCTAGAGATTTCAGGGTGTGATTCATTCGGTCCTGTTGACTTTTCCGTGTCTAAAGTGCTAAGATCTTTATGCAGATCGTCTCAATCGAAGTCTACAGTGAGCAGATGACTTCAAGATTGTGTGTTTGAGTCTGGTTCCACGTCAGGAAGAGGCCTCTGAGTAAAAACGGCCCCAAAATAGTTCACCGTAGCCTCTGCTTCTTCGTGATTTTCCTCTGTCATTTCACACACACTCCCTTCCTTATTAAGCTGAGAATCCAACGCCGCGTCCTTGTTCTCTAATTTGTGTACAAGAAGAGTCTCTTAGGCTGCTTGATTACAGATTGTGCCAACTGTTTTTCGTATTCCTGATGAGCATCTCAGATTGTAATTACCCATTTACTTTGCACCCACCTGCAGCGTTCCATCGTACTGACTGTGCAAAGGCCGATGGCGGTGCTCCAACATTTCTTCTTTTGTCTTGATAAACGTCGAATCTCCCGGCCTATTTAGCGATGGCCGTGTCTCTTCTTCTTTGGGACTGTTCAGGGCACAAAAGGTTAAGTTACCTGATTGTGCAGCTGTCGGAAGTGAGACCATGTCTCTTCTACTGACGCTCCTGAGTCAATTTTCTGGTTTTCAGCCGAAGCTGCGAAGTTGATTGCCTTCATATCTGCCTTCCATATATTTGTATGGGCCGGCTCAACTGCTTGAAAGGCCATCTCGACCATGAACTTGTATAGGATGACCTCATGATCTCGTTTCCCTTAAGATGGGAGGAAAGTTGTTTGACTGACATCATCGCTGCGTGTTGCAGCGGTAAATAGATCCCCCAAATAAACAGCTCAGTAAGTCTTCGACATTGGATGCTGACCACATTAGTCTTAATGGACTCACCTAACTGAAGGCGCCCGGTCATGCACCCTCACCAGATCACGAGTGGGAACGCCGTGCTCAACAAGCCTTGCAATCGCTAGCTAGATTAGATCAGACTATCCTCGATATATTGATAGCCTATCAAATATATCTTCGAACCTACTCGCTTTTGTCTTTTGATTTCACTTGGTGGGTACGATTCATACTAGATGTTACTAGTCAAAAAGTTTTCAAACCCCGAATACCTGCAGCATCTTCAGTGTAAAGATTGTTCAAGGGATAGGAGGAGTTTTGTAGGTCATATATGGTAGAATCCCCAGTGTGTCGGAATAAAGCTAGGAAGATTGTAGTGCATTTAAGTCACCTACTATAGGGATTTTACCCCTATCGTACCAGGATTTGAGTTTCCTTAGCGGAAAGCCACCCATTACACACTTCGGATTGTAATATGCTACGGCTAATTCAATATCTTACAGTTAACACTTCGTTCTGCAGAGCACTAGTTCACATGTCTGAGAATCGTATGCTACTGTCTCGACAGCTTATATAGTTAGGGAACTTTTCGTGCACATGACAATCTCATCACCTCTACAGCTTATTCTGCAAGCCCTACTAGATAGGAAACCAAATAAATGAACTTCATTATCATATACTACTGACATTAACCATGTTTATGAGGTGGCAATATTGCGATGCTGATGTTCTATAGCATCATGGTTCTCTATGTGTTTCCTGTGCAATCTTCTTTTTGGTTAAAATTAGTAAGTTATGGAGCCCTCTTCTATAAGAAATAGTGACGGGATATTCTGCTGAGTCTTTAAAAAGAAGGTTGGACTTTTACTTTAGTTACATTAATATTAAAGATTATTTCAGGTGTTATGTATACCAATAATCTTAAGTATCAATATGTAAGAATGCTTGTAACTACCCAAACACAAGTCCGAAAGGATACATAATTCGTTAATTGTACCAAGCAATGTTTGAAGTTTGAGTTTCGCTTTTGTGGTACTTTCAGTCGTGCGTTACGCTGATGGCCAAAAGCAATAATTCTGTTTTCGACCCATGGAATACTTTTTACGAAACCCCAGAAGAGCAAGCTGCCATAAAACAGAGAGCGAAAATGAGGGATGCAATGAAGGCTGAGTACAGGAAACGATATACAAATCCATTCAACCCCCCAATGGGTCATTTGGTAAACATTTTTGTATTATGATAATATTAAGCGTTACCTCCTCAATTTTTGTAGTCTTCGAAGCTTTTTGTGTTTCTTTTTTACTGCCGAATATGAGTAGGTTATAAGCCTAGTGTTGACCGGATGGTGTATATTCATGTAGTCTTCAGTAATGAGGATTGTAGGTTGGTGAACCTATGTTAATTCTAACAGTTTACCCACCAGTGAAAATCCAGTTTCTCCTTGAAAATGTTCACCAATGGGGCTGGTACCACTTGTTTGGGTAGGGCGTTCCAGTCATTGACCAATCGATGAGAACAACAGAACCCCACATTAAGTTTATTAGATCGCGGTTTGTGAACCTTCTTGCTATTACTTCGGAGATTATTGTTCTGGAGGGAGAAAAAAAGAGCAGATATATTAACATCCAAGTCGTAACTAAAGATACGAAATGTCACCTCGCGTCCTACGATACGACAAAGAGAAAAGGTTTAGACGTTTTAAGTGCTCATCGTAAGACCCTTCTCTAGTTTCATTCTCACACGCTGAATACGCTCAATTGAGTTAGTATCCTTAGTCAAACATGAGTCAGCTGCTTGGATACAGTACTCTAATTGTCGTCTTGTATAGGTGGGATACAAAATTTGAAACATTTCCATGTCAAAGCATTTGAATGCTCGGCGAAGTGACCATAATGCACGAAAACCTTTGACAGCAGCTGCGTTTCAATGCTTAATTGTTTGTAAGTGACTTACTATTGCTGCTAAGTCTTTATGTTCTTGAACGCATGGAAAAGATGTACTGTCGATAGTATAACGGTAATTATTACCGTGACCGATGTGCATGAGCACCCTCTTCCTAGAATTAACCTCCAAGCCCCAAGCTCGAGCCCATCTAACTAATTCGTCTAGGTCAGCTTGGAAACCAAAATGATCAACCTCACTACTTATTGTTCTCCAGATTTTGACATCATCCGCAAGCAATAGCGTCGACGACCTAAACAATCGCGGTAATTCATTAATGTAGAGAAGAAAAAGTAGTGAGGCCTAAGACGGTGCCCTTGGGGTACACCACTTTTGGCCGGTCTCTATTCGGATAGCGTTCCACCGACCCTCACTATCTGCCTGCGGTCACATAATAAGTTTCCTATACACTCCTGTACAGCACCTGTTATTCCCGAGCTCGAGAGCTTCTGCATGAGATCTAAGTGTGAAATCTTGTCAAACGCTTTGCTGAAGTCTATGAATATCACATCAACAGACAGACTATTGTCTAGGGTTGCTGTCTAATCCTCTCTCGCAATAAGTTAGTCAAGCATGAATGCTTTTTGTAAAACCCATGCTGCTCCAGAGTCAACAGATAGTGTGAATCTATGTGACTTAGTAACTTAACCCGAATTATCTTTCCAAGTAACTTAACGACTATGCCGGTTAGACTGACAGGCCTGTAAGATACGATCTGTCTCTGACTATCCTTAAATATAGGACTGACTATATCATCTTTCCAATTTCTAGGGAGTTAAGCGAGTGAAAGGGACATGTTGAAGAGCGTTTCGAGAGGTCTTGAAATAATGTCCGCAAAAGATGACAGCAGTCGTGGATGTAACCCATCAGGGTCCCATATCTTACATGGTTTGATGTTATTGATCAATAGGAAAACAGTTTTCTCAGTCACATGTACAGATCCTATGCCTGGTATCTCGGTGTGATTGGGACAAGTATTTGTAACAATACACGTAGAGTAGACTTTGCTAAAATAGTTTGAAAAAGTCTCAGCTTTCGCCAGATCTGATTGAACTAGTAAATCTGGATTTTCGTGTAACAGTAACGGGGGAATACCGCTACGTTTTGTTCGCCGTTTAACGTGCGAAAACAATCGTTTCAGATAAGTAGGGCTATCATATGCCAACTGTCTTTAGTAAATAGTACGGCATCTGGCTATGATCTTTTTACATATATTCCGGATATTTTGGTGTTCACACTTAAATGATTTTTGTCCTGTTGACAAGAATAAGTCCCAGAAGTGTTTCCTAAGCTTCAACAGCTTTCATGTTTCCTCATTAATCCATAGAGGGCAATGTGATAGCTTACGTGTTGACCTTGGGATAAACGGTGATGTTACGGCCTCGAATGTAGCCTTAAACGTACTCCATTCGTATTCGATCGACTCATCCTCACCGATCGACCAGTCAGTCGAAATAGCACAGTCTATAATTGCCGGAATATTGGCTCCCAAGATATTGGGATGGGGTGAAGCAGATACAAATTGTATACCATGTATCCGAAACTTAAAGTACGACATGGTCACTATTCGCTAGCGGGGCAAGGTGCTGAATGTCGATTACACCCTCACAGTGGTGTGTGAGGACAAGGTTCAGCAATGACCTATCATGTTCCAAGTTAATGTGTCGGTTTCGCGATACATTGTGCAAGTGCAAGTCGCTATCAAAACCCCTACCTGGAACTGTAAGTTCTAGGAAAATGTTTAACGACATTCAAAGTTAAACCCGTTCCTAGTTTAATTATTTGGGATCTAGAGGAGTCGGAAGACAATTACTCTGCTAAAAGACATACACACGATCTGGAGTTAGTGGAATATGTCATCGGAAATGTACTGCCTGAAGAGGTTTCAGGTGTACATATCACGAGAGTAATAAAACTCGGTAAATGGGTTGGAGGCGAGACCCAACCAAGAAGGATCTTGAAGTTGGTACTCGGGAATTTTGATGAAAGAGACAATATTGAATAATGTAAACATCAGATCACCAAATGATATGACATATATGGGTTAAGAGCTGTAAGGATATACATAGTTCGTCTCTTATTCTTCATTGGATGTCCACGGTCTGCACTTAGGGGTCATTAGTTTCGATGGAATACTGGAGATTCATGCTACGTTTCTAACTCCAGTAGAGAATCAATTATCTTGAAGTTTAGTCATATATTAAGACTTATGGCGTAAGGATTATTTTGAGTATCACTTAATGGTCATTTCTTATCGTTAAATGATATATAATTTGCAGTGTAGTGCAAAATCCTTTCGTTCCGCGCATAGGACTCAGTGCCTTCACTTCTTACCTGGTTAGTTCTGGGTTCCGTTTAAACCTTTCTCGTACTTATCTACTTGCGTTTGTTAACTTCTATGCTGAGTTCCTACTTAAACATGCTTCAGACATCTCGTCCTGTTTGAGAGGAGTTCACAAGGGGGCTAATGTGACTCGTTCAGCGCTTCATCACATGCATGCTTTCACGTATTTTGTTTAAAACATGCAAGGTTTTTACCTTTGGTCCTCCGTAATAAAGTTCGAATAAAAGTGGTCTATGTTAATGTTTAGAGTTTTTAGTGCTATAGAGATATATTCTCGACTTAAATCACCAACATATGGCTAAAGTAGCTGGTTTTGTAGAGAATTACAGCAGTTCATTACCCAGTGCAAAATAAACAAACTTCTATGCATAAACGATTTGTTACAGGCTTTTGAACTTCCTTAATATTTCGTCTCTAATGAGAGACTGGTGCCGAAATATTCTTTCGTCCTACGATATTCTAGTATGATATTAGATCCTATAGTAAAATTGTAGGAAGTGATCAAAATATTTTGTGGTTGATTCAGGTTACAACACATTTATTTGTACCCTCTCCCAAGTGTCATTAATTGTCTAGCCAACTGGTGCGTTTGATCTGACTTGTAACAATATCTTATCGTCGTTGTTATGGTTTGCTAGTGGAAGTATTGGTATATGGACAACCTTAAGCCAGTTTCTGGCCAGTAAGGAAACTATTTATTTATAGAATTGTAAGGGCCTTCGTTACGAACTGTTATTGGCTATAGTGTAAGAATAGATTTTCATAAAGAAATATGATTGATCCATTCATTCACTGCTCCTGGTTTTTAATATGTGCCAACATTAATATGAATGGGTCTATGAACACCGGTAGGTCAAAAAAATAGGAGGGGATACGAAGTTCTCCCTTGGGGTATCTCATTCTTTACTGACTTCCATCAAGATAGATTGGTATTCGCTACCACTTCGGTGTGTATTTATAAAATGTTGTCCACTGACCTAATTTTACATTTAATTCCGAAAATTTCCAACTTGATTTGAAGCGTTATATGAGATTTATCAACAGCTAAATTAAGATTCATAGGTCCTATATTCCTAGCTGCAGCTCAATCTGTTGCAATAAAGTCTATGAAATAAGTAAATTAATGTTGCTTGGTTAAATCATCCCTACTTTTTACATGACGCTGAGTAGCAGCGCGAACTATCTCCATACTTTGAGGACTATACTGATAAAATCAACTTCATTTTATTCATTTACTAAGTGCTTCTGTTTTACAGATAACCATATTTAAAATCGTTTGGTTGTGTTTATTAATGGAAAGAAAACAGTAAAATATGGACGTGTGGTTAAAAATGAGTCTATTACTACTTAGGATGCTGACTACATACTGAGCAAAAACTATTACAAAATAAAAACTTTGTAGATCGAGTAATTAAGTCTCCATAATTCATCAGGTGTTAGAACAAATATTTTTTGTGTTTAATATTGAGATCGCCTTTAATTTGTTTCATAGGACCAATGTTTGTAAATATGATGTGAGACAGCGTTAATCTATGTTCGTTGTTTAGTGATGGGAGTATATGTAGTAGGTGCTATACTACACGCCTTCAGAACCCTAAACTTTTGACATATCACGTAGTATTATTGATTGAAATTACCACTCAAAGGTAGTTACATATTTTGGAATTTTAGTTTCAACCTGTTGTTATGGGTTTTTTAACTCATATTTAAACTTTCAAGCTTTCTATTAAGAGTTGTGTTTTGCGGTGTTTGACACCATCAGTTTATAATTTATTTTTAAGAAGATATTTATAGGTGTTCGAACTGAAAAAAATGGAAAAGTAGGGTTTCAGGTTTGGGTTGGCAACTTTTCTTATTCACTTTCAAGATATTTGAGATTTTTTACCGTAAGTACTTTTGTAGGAATGATATTCACTTAAGGCAGTTATCTTTAAGATATCATGTAGCATAACTTATTGTATGAAGTTTGTTAGGCTTTATTGATTTTATTTTCTCCTACGTTTGTTATATTTTTCAGCACGATCCTGCATTGCAACACCATTTTTCAGCCCAGGTTACATATGCAGAATATTTACGTCCATCCCCCAAATTGGGACTAATCGCCCTTGGAGTTTTAGGCGTAGGGTGTCTAGCGATGGTAATAAAAGGAAGGCTTAAGGTATGGTGAACACCGGAATCAGTATTTTCGTATTTTTTATCGTCCTTCGTTTTTTCCTTCTAGTGCGTCTAAATTGTTCGAATGTTTTTTCACTTTAATCATTTTCTGGTGCAGTTATATCCCGATTGTAGCTGATACCTACATTGATGTAGTGTTCAGGCTTGCCTATCGCAATGGCTCAATCGAGCTAGGTTGACCTGAAACGATTATTCCTGTGGGTCCTATCACGACAGAGAGTTCGGTCGGAGAACCGTAAGACTAAAAGCAGCGACTTGAGGTCGGATGGCGATTGCTTACTGCTGACTGTACTGGGGTGTAGCGTTATCAGGTGTGGAGAAGATTTTCCACCATCTCAAAATCATATGAGCGTAATCCGCTTCTCGTTGGTACTAAGGTGTTTCTCTCAAACCACTAATATTTAAGGTCATTTTATCTACTCAAAGCGGAGGAAATGGGTTATAAAGGGTTGACTCTAAAACTGTTTCACGGATTCCCACCCCTGGCTGAAAGACCTTCAAAGTATGGGAGCCTACTTTTCACAGGCTAAACACCAAAAGTTTATTTGATCAGTCTGGTGCAGTTGCCCTTTAGGCTTAATGGTTTTGCTTTTAGCATGCTAAGATCATGACTAATTCAGTTTTCTTTTCAGACATGAAGAGCAACTATCGTTTTACAGTGCGAGAAACCGAGAAGTATCAATCGCCCTCATACCTCTAACAGAGCCCGTGACCATCTTGTTCACGACCAAATTCCGTCGACACTTCCTAATATTTCTCCTGTTCCCATGACCAACTCCTATACTATAACTGTCTATATCTCCTTACTTGCTTACTTACGCCTGTTACTCCCAATGGAGCATAGGCCGCTGACCAGCATTCTCCAACCCACTCTGTCCTGGGCCTTCTTTTCTAGTTCCATCCAATTCTTGTTCATTTTTCTCATGTCTATCTCCATTTCTCGGCGTAATGTGTTCTTTGGTCTTCCTCTTTTCCTTTCGCCTTGAGGATTCCATGTGAGGGCTTGTCTTGTGACGCAGTTGGGTGCTTTCCTCCATGTGTGTCCTATCCACTTCCAGTGCTTCTTCCTGATTTCTTCCTCCGCTGGGATCTGGTTTGTTCTCTCCCACAGTACGTTGTTGCTTATAGTGTCCGGCCAATGGATCTGAAGTATTTTGCGTAGACAATTGTTAATAAACACTTGTATTTTCTGGATGATGGCTTTCGTAGTTCTCCAGGTTTCTGCCCCATACAGTAGAACTGTCTTGACATTTGTATTGAAAATCCTGACCTTGGTGTTGGTTGACAGTTGCTTTGAGTTCCAGATGTTCCTCAGTTGTAAATATGCTGCTCTTGCTTTGCCGATCCGCGCCTTCACATCTGCATCTAATCCACCCTGTTCATCAATGATGCTGCCCAAATACGTAAAGGTTTTTACATCTTCCAAATCTTCTCCGTCAATTGTGATCGGATTGGTGCACTCTGTGTTGTATCGGAGAATCCTGCTTTTCCCTTTGTGTATATTGAGACCTATTGCTGCTGAGGCTGCTGCCACACTGTTCGTCTTCTCCTGCATCTGTTGTTGTGTTTGGGATAGAAGGGCCAGATCATCTGCGAAGTCTAGATCATCCAACTGCATCTTAGACGTCCATTGTATCCCGCGCTTCCCTTCAGACGTTGACGTCTTCATGATCCAGTCGATCACCAGGAGAAAGAGAAAGGGTGAGAGTAAGCAACCTTGCCTAACACCGGTCTTCACTTCGAACGACTTTGTCAACTGTCCTTCATGCACAATTTTGCAGTGTAATCCATCATATGAGTTCTGTATGATATTGACTATCTTTTGAGGCACGCTGTAGTGTCGAAGAAGTTTCCATAGTGTTGTTCTGTTCACGCTATCAAATGCCTTTTTGTAGTCAATGAAGTTGATGTAGAGTGATGAATTCCATTCAATTGATTGTTCCACAATGATCCGTAGAGTTGCGATTTGGTCTGTACACGATCTATCCTTACGGAATCCTGCCTGTTGGTCACGAAGTTGGGCGTCCACGCAGTCCTTCATCCTGTTTAACAATACCCTGTTGAAGACTTTTCCCGGTATTGAGAGAAGAGTGATGCCCCTGTAGTTATCACACTTGCTGAGATCGCCTTTCTTCGGTATTTTGATCAGAAGTCCTTCTTTCCAGTCTGTTGGTACTTGTCCCTCATCCCAAATCTTATTGAAGAGAATGTGGAGTATCCTTGCAGTTGCCGCTACGTCTGCTTTTAGTGCCTCTGCTGGGATGTTGTCCGGTCCTGCTGCTTTGCCACTCTTGATTTGTCTGATGGGCATGCTGATTTCTTCAATTGTTGGTGGGCCAACATTGATTGGGAGGTTCGTGGGTGCTGCTTCGATGTTGGGTGGGTTCAGTGGAGCTGATCGACTCAAGAGTTCTTTGAAGTGTTCTACCCACCTGTTTTGTTGCTCTTCAATGTTGGTAATTACCTTGCCTTCTTTGCTTTCCACTGGTCGTTCTGGTTTGCGGCGATTTCCAGAGAGTTTCTTTGTCATGTCATACAATTGTCTCATGTTTCCTTCTCTTGCAGCCTATTCCGCCGTCGTTGCTAAATCTTCCACATATTTACGTTTGTCAGTTCTGATGCTCCTCTTCACTTGTTTGTTTACTTCTGTGTATTCAGCTTGTGCCTTGGCTTTTTCTGCTCTTGTTCGACTGGTATTGATTGCTGCTTTCTTGTTCCTCCTTTCTTGAATCTTATCCAGTGTATCAACAGTGATCTATTCCTTGTGATGGTGCTTCTTGTGGCGCAGAACCTCATGGCATGTTGAAGTGATTGCTTTTTTGACCCCCTTCCAGTTGCCCTCCATAGTAGTTCCTTCTCCAATGAGTAGATCATGAAAGGCCTGGAACTTATTGCTGAGGACTATCTTGAATTTGTTGAGTTTGTCAGTGTCCCGAAGAAAGGCCGTATTGAACTTTTGTGATATTGTCCGCCCCGTTGTCCAGTGCTTCTTGAGTTTCAATTTCATCTTGGCGACCAGCAAGTGATGATCTGATGCTATATCAGCTCCTCTCTTGGTTCTCACGTCCTCTATAGTCCTCCTGAACGTTTTGTTGATGCAAATATGGTCGATTTGGTTTTGTGTAGAGTGATCCGGTGAAGTCCATGTGGTTTTGTGTATGCGTTTATGTGGGAATATGGTGCCGCCTATGACCAGCTTATTGAAGGCACATAGATTTGCAAATCTCTCACCATTTTCGTTTCTTTCTCCCAGTCCGTGTTGTCCCATGATGTCTTCATATCCAGTGTTGTCCGTTCCAACCTTGGCATTGAAATCTCCCATCAGAATGGTCAGGTCCTTTGTTGGGCACTTCTCGACGATTGACTGCAGCCTATTGTAGAATTGATCTTTAGCGTCTTCATTGTAGTCGTTGGTAGGCGAATAGCATTGGATGATGTTTATTGAAATACCCTCTTTTTTTGTTTTGAACGAGGCTTTGATGATCCTTGGTCCATGAGATTCCCATCCTATAAGCGCATTTTGCGCTTGTTTGGACAGCATCAATGCAACTCCTTGTGTATGTGGTGCATTTTCTTCCTCATGGCCGGAGTATAACAGGAACTCTCCTGTAGTTAGTCGTTGTTGTCCAACTTGTGTCCAATGTGTTTCACTGATCCCAAGTACCTCTAGGTTGTATCTTCTCATTTCTGCAGCAATTTGGAAGGCTCTCCCGGTGTCCCACATTGTACGAACATTCCATGTACCTAAATAAATGGTCGCTCTGGTTGTCAGAAGGGGCATCGGCCTCGAAACTTCGGAAGGAATTCGGCTTTCATCATGAGGCGTCATAATTCTTCTAAATGAAAACCTTCTGACTCCCAGGGCAGAGTTTAAAAGGTTTGAATAATTTATTCTGGTTAGCGCTTTTTTGGCGAGTTAGTTTTCTACGGGATGGGGACGCTAACCCCATGTCCAACCCTCCTTCTTTATCCGGGCTTGGGACCGGCAGTAGCCCCCGGAGGGACTCCAGGCGGAGTTGTCTATATATCCAGCGAAGTTTATTCCCTCTTTTTGATTGGGCTACGAGTTGGTTGCGTTAATTTATCTTTTTAAGGGTATAATCACTTATCTTAATAGAAACATCCGTTTTTCCTAACAAGTAAATAGTCCATATTTAGCTATTTAAGTACTCGTCGTTCTACCGTTTGATTCTGAAATATTGGTAAAGAGTGCTGGCTGTGTTGTTTGAAAAGTACATTATTGATGTATCTTTCTATATTTCGTTTATTTTGTACTTGTATCCACTCAAACAGCATCACTGTTATACACGTATTATCGTGTTGTGACTTATTTAAAGAATCTAATTACACGGAACTACTGAAATTCCAAAACTTCTGCTATTCACTACTTCCACTTTTTGGATCTTATGTCAAATTGAACAACAGGCTTCCTTAACCAGGACTTTGGCATCTCTCACCATCGGTATGCGTCGTGTCTCCCAAACATCCATGTAAGTTAGAAGTCCGGTTGTTCACTTGACCTCACCTAGTCAGTATAAAGGACCAACTCAGTTGGTCCTCTATGTACCTGGGAGCTCGACATCTACTTCTTGTGGTATAGCAATAAGTTCAAAAGCAAAATATGTTCTCAAACAGTATTATGATAGACAATCACTTGTGTGCTGTCCGATTAAACGGGACAGTTACAAATCAGAAAGATAGGGACATATATCACCACTTTTTCGTCCAACCCCCTCCATACGGTCTCACTCAATGCAGCTCAAATAAAGCGAAAGACAAATTTTATAAAAAACTTTCCACCTTCCAGTAGCTAAGTGCTTAGATGTAGTAACGACAGAGGGTGATTTTAATGTCCATTTAAGTGGTCTGAATCAGACTGAAAGGCATCTGTGCGGGTCTCACAGTATCGTAGCTCATCGATAGATAGTGGCGACCGACTACTGCAACTGTGCCCAGATAACCGTTTATTTCGAACAGGCATCAGCTTTAAGCACAAGGAAAGACATCGTCCAACATGGCGGCCCGCAAGATGGACAACTTATTAGATTTATAAGAAATCACGCAGTAACTACGAGCAGTGGTAGTAGCGAAAGCAAAAGAGATGGAAAAGACAGGGGGAATAAATAACTGTAGACAACTATTCAGACTCATTAAGGAAACAGGTGTTAAAAATCCAACTGTTAGGGGAACTATTTTGTAAAACGATGTGACCACTATTCACTCTCGATCCGGGAGATTAGACTGATAGCTAAAACATTTCAAGCAACAGTTCAGTTGAGCTCCAACTACACTCTGTTTGCCCAATATTTCCAAACAACCTAAATGCTAAGTTAACGCAAGCCTCTAACTCTTAGTGTGGCTGAAAAGACCATAGGCAACCCGAAGCAAGGTAGAGCTGCAAGTGCAGATGTAATTGTGCTGGTGAGTTCTAAGGATGGGGTCCAGTTTAAGCAGTAAGACTGACAGAAATCCTAGAATTCGGGAACTGGACATGATTCCACTTGACTAGTCTGGATTGCTGATCGTCTTAGTTTATTAGAAAGGACAAAATTCCTCTTGCGACAACCACAGAGGAATCGGCCTGATTAATATAGTGTCCAGAATAATAATCTCTGTAATCACTCAACTGTTAACTAAGGCCCGTGAAGAGAAAACTTGGGGAATAAAATCTGGTTTCAGACCTGGACGTGAGTATGTAGACCAAATCTTCACTCTTCCTCAAGTTTTAGAACCCAGATATGCTTTCCGACTCTGAACTATAATTGTATTCCTTGGTCTTAAAGTAGCGTTCGCCCCTGTTGATCATTAGTTTTTGTGGCAATGGTTGTTTTTAAAAGGTTTCCCGAGGAAGTACATCAATCTTACACAGGCTCTTTACCCGAACACTGCAGGTTTAGTAAGAGCTTATAGCGAACTGTCATCAGAATTGTCAACTTCAAATGTGCGGGCAGTTATCGTTCCTGAAGAGATTTTAGTATTTCTAATAAAATTTAACTATTCTTGTGACCGCCTTAGCATTTCACCAGGGTTGTCCACTTTATTTATATCTGACTTCTTCATAGACATCTCTTTAAAGACAACACTCGTCTAACTTTTTTGGAGGTTGGCCTCGTAACCTGAAATTCACTCATCGACTCGCAATACTCAGATGACACGATTCTATTCGGTGAAAACGCTGACAAAGTGTAGAGTTTCCTAACCACCCTAAGCAATAGTGCCAGCATGTTTGGGATGAGATTCGTTCGCATTAAATATAAAATATTTCTTCAGGACTTCAACACTTCAGTTAGTAATAGAAAGTGAAGTAGTTGAGTGCGCTAACCACTTCACTTATCTTGCAAATCTTATCAGATCTGATGTATTGGTGTCTGACAAATTCTCAACACAAATCCGAAAAGTTCTTTTGACTTTAACCAACTTGTATAACCCGTGGTTTAGGCAAGCCGTTCGTCTACCGAATCAAAGGAAGAGTTTACCGTTCAGTAGTTTACTCTGTTCTATTTTATGGGTGTCGAAAATAGCCATTAGGAAGAGAGGATATTCGTAGGTTACTGGTACTCGATCATAGGTGTCTTCAAACCATTGCTCGTGTATTTTGAGACTTCAGAGTAAGCAGTGCTAAAGTTAGGCATAAGGGACTTGCGGGAGATAGAAAATTGGCTGATGAGGTAGTAAATCTTTATCCACTGAAGCGATTGGGACATATGTTACTTATATCCAATCACCCTTTACCTTGGCGCGTGATGTCTGGTGTAGGAGTAGGCTGGGAGAAAGCTAGTGGCGCTCAAAACAAAGGATGGCATAAAATAGTGAAGTCGCTGACCGTTGGATTAAGTCATGTAGGTAAGTGTAGATTACCTGATTGAGGTCCACGCAATTATCGTAACCAGTCGTTAGAGACTGGGTGACATGGCTCAGAATCGTCCATAATGGTGCAGGTGCATTCTGATTTTATCTTCCTTTCGTTCTCGAATCCCGACATTCCACATTTTTTTGTTCCGATTATTTTCTACCACTATTGATGTAGTGAACAGAACACAGGTGGGGACAACCGAATGTATTTGACACAAAATTACAGGACTTGTTAATAAAATCTAACAATCAAATAGTAAATACGTAATTTGCAAAATGTCCATCGATTGTCTCATAATGACTCAGAGTTCATTGTTCTTGCATTTTCATACAAATTGCATTCTGTTCCCATTCTTTACTGTTCGATCCTCTTGTCTCTCCGCTTCCAGACATTCTGTTCACGAATAACGTCATATACTACTTATGTCGATATAAGTAGCACACACCACACTGATACTGGTTATCACTTTTAGTACTCTGCGATTTATCTTGATAATTTTATCTTGCAGTTCCCATGTGGTGTTGCAACTTAAGTCGACTAGTATATCAGGTTCTACGTTGTGTATGACTGACAGTTGCGTAAGTCACTTAGTGTTATGTGGAATATGCTGCTAGGTAATCTAAATCTGGTAAGATCTACTTGAGCTAAACATCCCAATACTCTTGAATATTTTAGTAACTTATTGTCTAACAAAACAAATATAATGTTGTTTTAATAACCTAATCTTACTCTCAAATGGAGAGACCATTAATAATTAAGTACACGCATGCGGCAATCGAAAAATGAGACAGTAATAATTCATAGGATTATTGATTTTATATATTTCACGTCGTTGTGTGTATTTATTCTCTGTCACTGTAACCGTAATGTAGGAGGGAAACTAGTTTTGTTCTTTTTAATTAAAGTTTAAACAATAATCCAGTATAAATTGTTATAAAGAACTTTTAGATTGTTCTAAACTATTATTAGTTTTCACATGCTTATATTGTATTTGATTCAATACCATATGGTTATTTGACTTTTGTTTTTCCTAATAGAAACGCCGGTTCCAAGAATATGATTGTGGTGAATTGACTTATCGAGAAAGATGGGGAGGAAATACATGGTTATAAAACTCTGTATGATTTCTTTTAACTTTGTAACCAATTCATTAGTTAATTGAAATAAATTAGATCACCTTATAACCATACTTTTTTTTTCAGTCTTATAGGGATGTTTAGTATAAAAAATATAACGCTAAATAATGAACTCTATTCTTTGGGAAGAGTGGATGTTTTCAATTAGGTTTAAACTATGAACTTACCCAGCTTACAAAACTTGAAACCAATAAAAATTTGTAACTAATTTCATCTTTATAAAGCTAGAATTTCGATTGTCGTTCGGTTTCTGGTTACAGTGTAAATTATATTTCTAATTTTGATTTAATCATTTTAACCTAAAAGTAGTCAAAATACGTCTTTCTACCGTTTTAATATTGTATTTCAATGTTTTTCAGACAACTTGATTTTTTTGATATAAGGTTTCTGCATACAAATATATAAACGTATTTATAAATTTTCATAATTAGTACAGCGTCAAATAAGTTTTGTGTGCGTTTTTCGGTGATTTTTCTCTATACCTCTATACTATATTGGTGTAGATTATTTTTAACTTTTTTTCTTGGAAGTTTTTGATCGAGATCATGAACTGATTGATGTTAGACCATCACAATTGAAAACCTGGAAGCACTGGACGGCCGTTTCGTCCTATTGTGGGACTCCTCAGCAGTGCGCACCCACGATCCCGCTAGCGGGATTCGAACCCAGGGCCTTCGGCCTCGCGCGCGAATGCTTAACCAACTTGACCACTGAGCCGGCATCCAATGGTGATAGTTTCTAACATCAACCAATCCACGAAATTGCGCGACCAACTTCCGTTGTATTGAGGTAGATACCTGTCTCTACCCGACAAGGATTGGCTCCACTGGTCACGGTTTCTCACTAGAACTCCGAGAATTCCCTCACGAAGCTAGTCACTAGTGAGCACATGTTAATTACTAGTATAGGGGTTGTGGAGATTATTAAGTTTTTGATTGAGATCATGAACCGATTGATGTTGGACCGTGACCAGTGGAGCTAATCCTTGTCGGGTAGAGACAGGTATCTACCTCAGTACAACGGAGGTTGGTCGCGCAATTTCGTGGATTGGTTGATGTTAGAAACTATCACCATTGGATGCCGGCTCAGTGGTCAAGTTGGTTAAGCATTCGCGCGCGAGGCCGAAGGCCCTGGGTTCGAATCCCGCTAGCGGGATCGTGGATGCGCACTGCTGAGGAGTCCCACAATAGGACGAAACGGCCGTCCAGTGCATCCAGGTTTTCAAAAACTTAATAATCTCCACAACCCCTATACCAGTTTCTTGGAAGTGTTTATTCGAATTAATGAGTTTGTAATGTAAGTTTGTTCTCTGTTTTCCTTTTCTTATTATAACATGGCCGGATTATACGGGAGTTTCAGTTTTCTGATTGGACTAGATGTTTTTAAGTTGTAAATGGTGAGGAATTTTTTTAATTCTGTGATCAACTTTAAACTGCCAGCATGGGGTTTTGGAGATTGTTTAATTTCGTTGAGACCATGAATTGGTCAGTGTGTTAGGCCACCACTGACAACCTGGAGGTTAAGCGTTTGCGCGCGGTGCCGAAGGCCTCAGGCTCGATTCCCGCGTATGGGGTTGCGGACGCCTACTTTTGAAGAGTCCCATACTGGGAAGAAACAGCGGTTCAATGCTTCCAGGTCTTCAGTGACGGTCTAACATTGATCGGTTTATGATTTGAATTAAATTGAATGTTGTGGAGGTTTTCTTGTTGTAAATATATATGTATAATTCTAATGCTTTCTGGGCGTTTGTGGGTCGAAAATTCGGGTAGTCAGAAAAACCATGACAACGACCTGGTTACTTCGTGTCTATCACTTCGAAACACTCAATATTCAGTTGATTTTTCAAATGTACGTTTGAATAATATAAAACTTACAAAAGAGTTGTCTGCATACTATGTTGCTGTATTTATTAATTTCTACATGTGTACATGTCAATGTAATATGTGAACTACAAAGCTATTTAATTGGAAAAGAACTATTGTTTGGTATTATCTACATGAAACTAGTGTTGACTTGCTTCGAAATTATATTGATTTATCACCTAATATCGTATTCTCATTTGCATTCAAGCTTCTGCATAACTATGTTTCGTAAATTTATGATTAAATCCAACGTTTGTTGAATATCTCAACATAAATGGTTAGCAATCTGAAGAAGTCTTGGCGATGGTAAGAAACAATCCGGCTTTCCATGATTCCTTATCATTTGTAGCATATCAAAAGACAAATATACTGCGCAACATTTAGCACTGAATTATCCTACAGATTTAGAAGATGGTTAGATTGCAAGTGTTGGATTATATGTATCTTTGAAACATTGCTGTTAGTATGTTACCTACCACATAAGTTGCAAAATGATTGAGTTAAACGAAACAGTCTAACTACTAGTCACTATAGCCGTTGCTTTTGATCTGAGTTTTGTCGAGGGGACTATCTGTTTTTGGTTGAGTTTTGTGACATGCACAAAATTTTTGTTGATTACTTGAGATATTATAGTTCAAAATCAGTCACAGTAGCACGCTCATTTATTCTTTCTTTTCGTCTAAATATTAGCCCTAGTATTTGAGAAAAACTTTCCATCTAATTTATTCTTTCTTTTTGAACAGCGTTTTCTACTTTGCATTGCATCTTGTTTATTCTTTGCCATGCCTATATAAAACGTGACAATTGAAACTGACCCAAATGTGTTTCAGTTCTTACATTGTTAATATCTGTGTTATAGGAAGAGAGTAGTTGTGCACCATGTTCCTGTAGATACAATCAAAAGATTATTTAAGTAATTTACATGGTGATTGAAAGTTTATTGAAATCGATCAGGTAAATTTGTCTGAAAGTAGGAATTTTGACGATTATACTATGTATATTATATGAATAAATAAACTTTTTGATGTGGAAAATAGGAAATTAGCATTGTTGAATAATAGGAATGATTGAATTATAACTCTGAATATATTAGCTTAGTTATTCAGAAACTTTCTGTTTTAGTGAATGGATTCATCTGATGTAGTATCTCATGGGTTAGTTATTGATTAATAGTATGTTCGGAAATAACAAAAACCTCACATCCAAACTTTATAAGAAGCCTTATAATTTACGAAATACTTGTGGAGTAAATATCTCTTCATATTTTGCTAGACTTTATTATTATCTCGATATTCATTATTCAGCACAAATTTTATAAGCGGAGATGGATGATGGCTGGCAGTGGAATCCTTTCTTAAAAATGCTCGTGACTTAGTGACAACATCGAGGTAATCCGCACAGGATAAACGTGTCAAAAGGGACTGATAAGTTGGATTCCTAAACATCAGTGGGAAAATTCAACCAAATAAATTTTATACTTTTGATTCTTATTCAAAATGAGAATCTATAGTAGTAACTTAAGAAAACACCGGAAAACACATCATTTTTAAACGTTTCGTAATATATTTTCTACTGGTATCACGATAATGCATTTAGAAGAGCATAACTGATACATACAGAAACTCAGGCGTATGTATATCTATTTAGACAATTAAAGCAATCATAAATTCCTCAGGAGTACATGCCTGTGACCCTATACGGGTAAGAAACTAACATCTTAGGGTCTCACAATAACCATAAAATTATTCGGTACCATCTAAAAAAGGTGCTTGAAACTGTTATTCCTAGTAAATGTGAAGCTTAAGTATGTAACTTGAAAAACCGAAAAAAAGTTAGGACAGGTGGACGTGTTGGTCGTCCGTTTCTCAATTATCCTCCAACTTATTATCAGTTAAGCCCTAACTACAGTATTTATTTCGGTGTTGGTCATTTTCGAAATATGGTTATTTTGATAAATCGTCGTTCTAACTCATGAAAAAACTAGCAATCATCTGTCATGTTGCTATTTTTTTACCGAACAGTTGAATGCATTTTCAAGTTTCTTGAAGGAGATTATTTTCTATTTATGGTTAAACAGTGTTTTTATCAGTCCTGACTGATTTCACGCTGTTTAAGATAACCCAAAAAATGAAGAACGTTTAGTGATGACGTAGTACACACAAAAGTCAGGGTTAAATCGATTGGATGCAAGTTTGGACTCCATCCCATTCATTTCAGTTTGGGTAACTCATTACTATCGCTACTCTTTGAACATAAAGTGTAACTCAATGTTAAATACCAAAATCTGTAATTTCAATAGTTGAGATCATGAGTCATTTTAAACTAGACCACCATGGAAAACCTCGAAGTGCTGGACGGGCGTTCCGTCCTATTGTAGGACTCCTCAGCAGTGCCCATCCACGACCCCACCTCGCGCGCTAGCGCTTAACCACTGAGCCTGCATCCACCGGCGTTAATGTCTAACTTCAACTAGTCCATGAAATTGGGTGCCAGTTACCATCTCACAACACTGATAGATCCCGTGTTCTAATCTCGCGAGGCGGGGTCGTGGATGCGCACTGCT